TAAAAGAGAAAAGCAGCTAATTCTTTCATTAATGAAGCTAAAAAGATTGAGTTTTTTGCTTGAAAATGAGTTTGGTTGCATCCTAATTTTACGTTGATCATTGCAGCTCCAGTTTTTATTGCAGATTAATTTACTGATAACTATTTTATTTTAATTTTTTTCTATAGAATTATGAAAAGCATCCATCACTTACAGATTCGAGCCCTGTGCAGGACTTTTTTCTTAATGCTGCTCCTGCAAGATTTTGGACCATTTGCGCCCGCACTTTAGAGATTTTGTGTCTTCTCCTGCCTCACAGAGAAAAGTCAGTAACAACTGAGAAATTTCTCCAAATGTCAGATTTGCTTTGCTTCACTCTTGTTTTGTAAAAACCTGCTTTGATCTTCTTTTCAGCTTCATTTGTGAAGTCCGTCTCCATCCTTCTGGTTGGCGCTCGCAGTTCATTCTTTGACCACCTGCTCACACCCGCACTCGTTCCCAGTACAGTCCTCTACACCAGATAGTCAATTTCCAATTATATTTAATATGATATAATGAAATATCCACATTTAAGAAGCTGGTACCAGCTAATATTTTGTATTTTTTCTTAAAAGCTTCAGTCAAACAATCAATTTATTCATCTTTTCTCAAACTATACAATCAAGTGATCAAAAAGACAGAAATACAGATGCTATTTAAGTGATGCTCATTGAGCAAACACTGCAGTTAAATGCGAAATATGAGAAAGTTCATTGTAAATATAACAGTAGAGCCTTTTGTGTGTTTTGTGTCAGCAGCATCGTTTGTCATTTTGCATTTGCACACCAGTAACCAGTTAGAAATATGAAAACATCCAGTCCATTTTCTTCATGTCTCTTTTGCTTGTCTTGTTGCTTTAGTTTCCCCCGATGTTCTTCCTCACAAAAATAAGAACGCAGGAGTAGGAGGGGGCGTGAATTATTTTCAGCTTCCAAAGGAGGGCATGAAAGGATAAGTTTGAGAACCGACGCATGAATCAATAATGAGAATAATGATTAGTTGCAGCCTTAATATGATGCACAATAACAGGTGAGCAGATTCCGATTTTGGGATTTTGCGACTGTAAACAAGCGCTTCTCTTCTGAGACGGCGACGATGTGACAACTACTTCTACCATATCAGGGTGAATGTAATGTAATGTGTGTTTATGTCTGAAAAGAACAAAACAGCATGTACAGTCGACACAGACCCCGTATCCACGCAGCACATTCACTACCCAGCGTTGATCACTGCAGAGACACAACGAGCAGATGGACTGACTGTGAGGGGTAACTGAGGAAAAAAAAATGAGGGGAGTGACAGAGGAAGAGGAGGAGGAGGGGGGAGCAGAGACAGAGATAGAGAGGCAGAATCACTGAAGGAGTGTGCAGGACAAACATTGACAGGCTGAGACACAGAGTGAGGAGGGAGCTTGCAGCACCTGAGAGGCAGCAGCTTCATTAGCATCAGGAGGAGAGTCGCTCACAGGCAGCCACGCCGGGACTCGTGCAGATAAATTGCTGTTATCCACCGCTTGTGGAGCAGCTACAGGGGGAGGCTACAGCGGAGGAGGAGAACGAGGCTGGAGCCAAAGCTTGAATGAGAGAATGAGAAGCATCGCTGCCACCTGACTCATACGGGGAGTCAGCCTCAGCACCTGCAGCGGCACTCTGAGCACTCCGGCTATCAAGGAGACTGGGGCAGACGGGGAGAGAGCTGCTGAGATTATGCGCGGGGCAGAGAGCTCCTGTGGATTCCCCATCTTTGGCAACAGCAGCAGCAGCAGGAGGAGCAGGAGCTGTGGCTCTACAGATAACAGCAGAGCTAGCTGGAGCTGCAGCAAAACAAGGAGCCCTCACTCCAAAGCAATTTATTTATCCAGAGATGAAGGTAGCATTTACAGCCAAAGTGTAACAGGAACCAGCTGCAGATGCTGCCACAGTGTTGAATGTACCTGTAGCCCGAGCAGTGACGGTCGCTGCAGCGCTGGTGTCAAGGTGACCACAGCAGTGCAGTTAGGTGTAGTTGTAGCTGTAGCTGGGGGGGGCAGTGGCTCAGGACACTGAATGACCAGTGTGGCTGATGAAGGCCACCTGGATCCGCTTGCTGAAACGAGCCAAGGGAGGTCGCGTCAAGAGCTCTGATGCCTGTGTAAGCAGATTTTGAGTGTGTTTACATCGTGAAAGCCTGTTGTTTTGTTTTTTGTGTGTGTCTGTGTGTGCGCCTGTGCATGTGTGTGTTGTTGCAGTCTCTAGTTCATCCATCAGTCCATAGCGATGGGGTCAGCGTGGCACGGTTGTGTATTGCCTGGTGATGATGAGAAAGCTGGGTGTTGTTATCAGTTATGGCTGTCAGATTCTGGGCAGAGCTCCATATCACCTCCCTCTGACCCACTGGGACGGTGTTCTTGAGCACGCCCCATCGTTAGACGTGACCTGATGGAATAATCACACCGGGCCAGGTATGTTCACCTGCACCTTTTAAGGCCGTTTTAAGCTCGTAAAAGAGAGGCTAATGTGCAATAAGATGCCAATTTAGGATATTAATGTAGTATCCGAATGAATTCTAACACAAGATTGAGCAGCGTTTGACACACGGGTTTAGATGCTTGTTGATGTTTTGAAAGCCACTGCGAGATTACATTGATCATGAGCACAACAAGAGCAGCCCATGGATAGTTAATGAGCTTACTTTGAAATGAGTTATTCATATCAGGTACAAAAGAGGGAGGATGAGAGCCACAGAGGCAATTGATGAGCAGCAGGGTTTTATGTAAGATGGAGGACATAAATATGAATAACCTTGTATTATGAACGGTCACAACACTTATGTTGTCTCTGTGTGTAAGTCAGGTAATGTAAGTGGAGAGGTGGGAGATCCTCCTTTGTATGGATGTGATGGCTGGGTAATTCTAATCAGGCACAGAGTGAGGGAGGCTATTTTTAACTCAGACAGCAGAGTGTAATGGTGCAGTGAGATGAATGAAAGACCTTGTGTGAGTGGTATAGTAGCGTGCAGGTAAGGATAAAGCTCACACTGCCTTTACTTAGTTAGAAATCCCTTCTTTTAATCTCAGACCCTCATTTATAGTTAAATGAAACTGATTAATTAAAGTGGTGCTGGGAAATTATTCTGCAGTGCGTGTGCAAATGTTGGTATTCTTTCCAACATCCACAAATTAAATTATAAAACTTTTCCTCAGTGTTTTCATTTTATTTCAGTTAGCTGTAGCTACTAGCACTAACTACATATTTACACTACGCAAAACTTACTTATAACCACGACATGCCTCTGTTTTAAATCATATATTTTTATTAATATGTTTACAAATTCTATTAGTTAGATATGTGTATGTATAAATAAAATACATATACATTAAAATAAATACATATAAATGAAAAGCAGGTAAACTAGCCATGCTAATGGTTGGCTATCTCACTTAGCTCAGCAGTGTACCATTAACCGCCATCTTTGCCAGCAGAATTTGTGATTTGATGTGGTTAAGCTATTTTTAAATCACATTTTTTAAACATATTCAATTATAAATCGATAAATTATATAGATTTCAAGGCAGGTGGAAAGCTTAAAGGACACAAATTCTTCGCTTTAATACTGTGTTCTTCCCTCGTACTCCTTAAGTTTCCCAAAACGCAGTGTAGTTTTTACTGTAGGTTGAAAATGAACATGTTTATATGACACCCCTTCTGTCTATTTTTATCTATGTATTTTATTTGATCTATTTTTACTCATTGTAAACACTTTGATCTATATAGTAAGAGCATGCAAGTGTCACATAATCTACTTTGGAAATGATTTATGTTATGTTATTTATAAGATTCTTTCAGATGTGTGTGTGTGTGTGTGTGTGTGTGTGTGTGTGATGGTGTGCACCAATGCACTGCACGCAGGAGTGTGTCTAAGATAGCGATCATATGTGTTTTGGTGTTTGTGAGTCTGCTTTTTTTATGAGTAGATCTGTCGCAACCACGTATCACATGGAGAGATACTGGGACCTGGTGTTCTTCAACAATATCCGCCAGTGTTTGTCACAGAATGATCAAAACAAATCTGCAGGCGAGCAGCTGAGTGAGAGCTAAGGATAGAAGATGAGCTGCTGGTGATGTGAATCTATGAAAAATGACTGTTTGTGTCCTTTGGCATCCTTTCCTAGTAAAAGAGGAAGTGTCCATAATTTGGTTCACATTCAATCAGCTCATGTGATTTCCTCAAGTTGTTTCAGCGATGTGATTGATAGATTACATTTTATTGAGCACAGCCTCTACGTTCATTATTTCATGAAATCAACTGATGATCAGAGCTTAACACTTCAGTCTGTGTGGGTGTGTGTGTGCACATTTCTAAGTTGCACATCAGATGCTCAACCCCAAAGTTTCTTTGAAGAACAAGAACAATGGGAAGCAGATTAAGTTGCTGTGAAGTCCAATGCTTCCCTGACACCTGTCATTTTTAAAGCGCGAATCCAAATGAATGGAGTTTGACTTTGAGTGTTTGTGTGTCCGCAGGGTTCGGCCGACTCCTACACCAGCCGTCCATCAGACTCCGATGTGTCCCTGGAGGAGGATAAGGAGGCAGTGCGCAGAGAGGCAGAGCGACAGGCTCAGGCACAGATCGACAAGGCCAAGGTTGGTATTCAAAATCCAGCAGCCCTAAGGTCACTCGTCCAGTTTCTAACTACTGAAATTATGGGCCAGGCAGGGTCTGTCATGGACATTTCAAACTGGGGGACAGACTGTGCGAATCAACATTTTTATACTTTTATTTTGTCAAGAACAAGTTCAGGGTGCAAATATTTATGGAAAGTGAGGAGTTTTGGGCTGTTCCAGTGGGATGTTTGAGGCTCGTAAGACTGCAAGATAACAAACATGACTGCAAAGTTTGCATGATTTAAGGTATTTTAAAAATGTGACAAATGGCACCATTAAGTCTAGGTTTTAGGATTAAAGTTAGAATTAGTGTTCGGTTACGCTCAGTGTAAGGGGGTTAGGCATGTGGTTGGTGTTGGTATGTCAGTGAGGGTCCTGGCAAGTAGAGACATATGTTTGCACAGACAGAAACTGGTTTATTATCCTTGAATGAGTGATGTCAGGCATCATTCAGTCGTAATGTAAACTTTACACTGGTTGGTTTGTTGTTGGAAGATGAAAAAAGGAAGCGTCTGCTTCCCTTTTGGGCTCATTTCTTAGGCCTACATTTTTTTACTATTGTCATATTTCAGTGGCAGTCTCTAAGTCAGAGCACTTACTAACTGTTTGGTCAAAGTTTCTGTATAAAGTTGGTGTAATTTTTAAGTTTTCTGACTTCCCGAGCTCATTTTGCCAACATAAGATGGTTAATGATATGATGTTTTATTAATCCTGTAGTGACTATGAGAGCAGGATAGTGGAGCTGATTTCAGCTGGTTTCTAAGATGAAGGAAGGGCTGTTAGGGGCTGCTGATGTGAGAGGTTAGGGGCCTCGGAGGACTCACCGTCACTGTTTATCAGAGCCAAGCCTCGCCTGCTCTGCTCTGCTCTGGGCCACAATTAGCGGCATATAAACAAACACACACACGGCAGAGCGGGCTTGCCTTTGTGCGACAGAAACTGCAATCAGAGCTCGCTTCCACAGAATCACTCAAATTGCCGGCACTGTTAAGATTTATGCCTTTGATCTTTGAAATAATTTGCCTATCGTCTGTGCACGTTCTGTTCTCTTCCTGCTCTACAGCTCACTAGATAGCCCATGGTGTTCTATTTTTGCACGTTCATTCAAGCAAGTGTCTGAAAAATTGGTTTATTGTCTTTCACCGGGTGTTTAGTGTCTATAACCGCTAGCACGCTCATTAGCTGTAAGCTGTAAGCTCTCGGTTATCCATCCATTCTAGCAGACATTTTCCTCCTGCTCTGCGTCTCGGCGTAGCTCGTAGCTGGCAGAGAGACAGATCATTCCGGCAGATCTGTGTTGTTATTTTCCAGAGCCACCCTCTCTGGCTCACTAATTAAAAAGATAAGTTGGCTTTATAGATAACCTGGTATAATTTACCCCCGCTGGCATTTTACATGACAGATGAGTAGTAAAAAAAATAGCCTGTCAGTCGTCTGGCCACCAGACAGAGAGCGAGCTGGGGTCAGAGGAAGTGCAGACTCTCTGACTGTGAGCCTTTATGGGCAGTAATTCACAATGACTTCCCTAACATACCGCTGATATTTCTAAATAGTGACGATAAGGTTGATAGCTTCAATATTATGTACAAGCTGTACAAACACGTATTATTATTTTTACCCCGTCAATCACTGAGTATCGTCAGTGCTCGTCAGTCTGTGAAAACAGTTGTATAAAGTCTTCTGTGGCTCTAGAGAAGCTTTGGGATAATAACCCTGGATGAGGTCATCTGGCTTGGAGACTTTTCTTTTTAATGGAAAGGCTTTGTACAAACTTGATGAGTAGAGTTTGAACTATGAGAGCATATATCAGAGAGGGGGAGCATTATAGTTGCAATATGGAAAGTTTTGGGATCAGTTTTTGGAGCTTGACGCATTTTAGAGTCAAAAAGTTGATTTTGACTGTTCTTTGTTTACCAGTCCATCTTTGAAAGTGCCACAATCTGGAGCCTTTTCTTGAGCCGACAGATATTATTGGCCTGTCGCAGACATATTGGTATTGTATTGATATGTCATATGATGTGCACCGATATAAAAACTAGTACAGTAGTTATGTTTAGCTATTTATTTTATTTTTATCTACTCTTCTTTCTGTGTTAATTTCAGGAATTGGTTGACAACGTAGCATATATGTTAAATTATTTAACATGCTAAAGAACATTTAACTATTAATATTCTTTAATAAAGTGATATGTTTTTAGAAAGCAGGCTTCTGAGTGCCTTTGCAGAGTTATATCAGTGCAAAATGTGTCTATTTTCAGCTCAGAAATGCACTATATCAGTTGACAAATCATTAATGTCCCCTTTATAAACACTATCGGTCAGGCTCTAGCCTTTTCTAAATGTATTTTCTATTTATTATCTATTTTCTGATGTAAAAGAATGTGGGCTATATATTATAACTTTACTTATTTATACACATTAATATGTGTCCATTCAATTCAGAGGTTATCCCACCTGACCTCCTATGTCATCTGATTAGTTGCACATCTAGTCTGGTGTCATAAGGCTCTGATTTGTTTCAGATACACTATTCAGGTCAGGTCGTTCAAGGTGACTGGCTTTAAAGCTGCTATAATCAATATTTTTATATCCTCAATGGATGAAACAGCTACTTGTATGTGAAAGTGGTCACTTATACTGTCATTTTCGCCATCTTTAAGCTTATTGTTTTCGTATTCCAGCCTGTAACTTTACTTTTTTTGGTGAACATAGTGGAGCATTTAGACACTCAAAAGACAGATGTTTCCCTCAGGAGTTGGTGGAGACCAAAACAGAGCCAAAGGGAGATTGATCATGTGTCAAATGTTATGTTTATAGCTTTCCACTGCCTCCAGGTGCCAATCTGTTAATGGAGGTTTAAATGCTATGACTAATTCCTCTTTTTGTTTGTTGTATAAGGTTATGGATGTCTCCTTTTGTCTCTAAAGAAGCTCTAACTCACCAGAGACAATGGATACAATATGGGATCTGACTTGTTGAATTAGTGCTCACACATTACAGGACAACCAATAGATGTAAATAAGATGTATGATAGAATATAAAAGATAAACTCACTCCAACTATACGCTCCAGGCATTGAAGAAAGAACTGGTAGCTGCAATGGATTAGTCACAGACTAACATTACTTAGTGAGCATACGCACCATATACTGACGCAACCTTGGATAATTATAGAAATATCTTCCCGCACTAAATTAATGAAGGTTATGGTTCCCTTCATACCACATAATAATATATATTTCACAGGCTCCCAGTAGAGCCTAAGGCCAGCGCACATAGCTAAAGAGAATTTATTTCAAATCGATGCACAACGTCCAAGGTGAAACAGAGTGAGAATCTTGATTTATATCATGAGATCCTGTGTGTGCTGCTAATGGAGAGGCTGTGGCATGTTACATGGCAAATCAGCAACAGCAAGGGCAAGTGTTCACTCAGTCAGTGTAAGTACAGTACAGTGAGGGCCAGGAGGTATTATCCACTGAAATATTCATGGTGGGATGAGATATTGTGACGATCGTCGTGTGGTGTTAATTGGCTATGGTCCATCGCACTGCCTCCTAGATAGGTTTTTTTTTTTTTTTTACTGGTTATCTCTGTGTTATCTTTAATATGCCTCTTATCTCAATGAATGTGTCTGCTCTAACTTCCTGTCCCCTGCTCCCTTTTTTTGCACTACATCTTGTCCTCTATCCTCCTGTCCATCTCCTTTCCCTTTCTTTTCCATTCCCACCCTCCTCCTCCGATGCTTCTTACCAGGTCTCTAACCCTCTGCCTCTGTCCTCTCTCCCTCCCTCACTGCAGTCAATATGGCATCCATAATGAAGGCCTGTGTTACGTAAAAAGCAACAGAGCAGTATGGGCTTGGTCAGGAGATGTAGAGACGCTGCATAGTGGCGTTAAAGGTGCCATTATGTACGAAACCCCGCAATCACCTGTGATACAAGGTGGCACGTAGGACGTGTATGTGTGTGTTATTGGTCTGTAAAATGTCGTTAAGCCTATAAAAAAGCTTCATCTGACAGCCGGTCATGATGGATAAAGGCAGAACAGAGCAGCTGGGAGGGAGGAAAGAAGCAGCGGTCCATCCAGAGAGCACACATACATACATATGAGTACTAATGGACCTCATGCATTCATACAACCGTGTGTGGCTCAACGCATGCAAACGCCAAGGACGCTTTGTCCTCTGCGGGTCCCGGCACTGCACACATTGGATTGAATGATCTCCTCAATGGAGATGTCACAAGCGCACACACATTCACCTTACAACCGTCACTCCGTGGAATATTTACATTGCTGTCGGCGTGAGGAAAATGACTCCAGGAGGATTTCGCTAATGTATTATTTCCATAATCCCTCATAGTTCATCATAGTCATAGTCTTCACACCTGTTGTATTTCAATGAGGCATTAGAGGAGAGTGAAAGCCATGATGAAGGAGATGGCCCCTCATCTGTAAAGCTCCTCCTGGAGCCGTTGATGAATTACTCCCATAGTGCCGAGCTTCAATGAGCATTGCTGCCTGTTTGAAAGATCTCAAGCAGCGTTCAGATCAAAGCAAATCCAATCAGCTCCCGCTCTCCTATTGAATTGTTGGAGGTTGAAGGTTAATGGAAAAGCCTTGAATTAAAAATATTAATCTTTAAAAGTCATTTAATCTCATATTGAGTATTTAAACCTGCGATACCAGATGTGTTAGCCAGTAGGGGGCAGCAGGTTGATATTGACATATATCTTTTAGGCTGATATGAATTGTTGACAGTTGTCTATACCAGTGGTTCCCAACCTTTTTCCTTAAGGGACTGCTTTTCTATCATTGATTAAACTGACAACCCCTTGACTAAATTATGTATTTTATGTATTTTTCATATTATATTAAATGGATGACAATAACAGTACAGAACAACTGATACACTTCCTGTGAATATTGCATCAGAGATGAGTTTTCCCCAATATTTTAGGAACTTTTTATGTATTTTAACATTTTTAACAATCATACAGACTTAATAGGCTTCTTTATTGACAAATTCAGTGTTTTCTTCTCCCTGACACTCGCTCTGTTAGCTCTTTGGTTGTTATAACTGAATACTTTTTACTGCAGGACGATGAGATACAATTTTTGTACATTTTTAAAGTTTTCCAACACCCCTTAAGATCAAGAATAATTTGGTTCTTTAATATGGGCGGCTGGAATAAAACCTCCAGTGGGCACAAACCTACTTTCAATATGTGTTTAATTAAAGTGCCAACACTGATAATGTGTCACAGTCTAAGTTTATTTCAAGTTCAGTTGCAGCTTTAGGAATATAGGAGAATTATTTAGTTGTGTTTACATTCCAAATTAACTTTTCTTAAATTAAGTTGCACTAAACCTGATACTAATATAGATATCTACCTCTTTTTTTTGGCTTTATATGCACTGAATTAAAACTGGAAATCAGCTCAACTGTGGCACATTTTATTTTTAGGTTGCTACGGGTGAAACCGGCTATTTGAGTGCATTTTGAAAGCATTTTTCAGAATCTGTATAAAGTCCAACTGAAGTTACAGCTTCAAAGCGCTGATCTAGTGGGTTCAATTTGACTCCCAGCTGAATATCCCACACCCCTTCCCCCTCATCTTGCTCTCTTTCATGTGCAGGTAAATATTTAGCGGGTGAGTCTACGCTGTGAGATTAATACTCTGAGCTACATCCCTGTGCATTTCGTTTTGGCTTTTCAGGTGACTTCAGTCACGCTTGTCACACAGTCAAAGGCAGAGCAAATGTAATCTGGTTGAAGCCATGACCACGTTGCCAACTGTTGCTGCCATCGCCACCAGGCTGGCTCCAAGATTATGTCCAAAAGCATTTTATGTAGGGATGTGTGTCTTTTGTGGGTATATTCTAGTCTTGCAGAGATCTGGATTTAGACTGTTTGTCTGTGAGCATATTCTCCCATTACATTTTTTCATGACGTGACCTTATTAAATCTTATTCAAATCCCTTTTTGTAGAAAATGTAATGCGTCACTATGGGAAGAGGAGATTTGCTTTTTGCTGTATGCAAAAATGTGTCTGGAAAGAAAGAAAGTTGCTCCCTCGTATGTGGACAGTCAGCAGTGTTAGGTGGTTCTATCATGGCTCGAAGGAGTGCAGGAAACATTTCATTAGCTGTGTGCATTATCTCAATAGACGGTTTGTCCTAAAGAGGAAGGTCAGCAGTGATCCGATAGGAAGGCCGGTATTGATTCAGCCGTTGTAAAGATTGTGGGATTGATTTATGAACAATTTACACGAGTGCTGTTTTTGCTACTCATAAGTAAGTGCAAGACAAGAGTCCCGTTTTACTATTTGTGTCAGAGTAGTGATTGCTACAGACACTACAATGTTGCATCACTCTGAATTGTAAAGTGTAAGTGTTTTCGCCTGTAGCAAACAGACAGTGCAGCGGCCAAATCATTCATAGAGAGATAGCTAAACTAAGTCTGGGTGAGTCATGAGCCTGCTTGTATCCCTCACCCAGGGTTATTTTTACACCTCGCACAAAGACAAGAATCAGAGCTCACCGACAGAGACCAGAAAGATCAAAATGTTTTAAGGATGCCACTCTCTGAGGTTATGGGTCTGGATTCTTTACAGTTAGGATCGAACTGCTGTTTGAGTCATTTATATCTTTTGCCCAATCTGACATTTTCATTAATTTCCCTCCTTTTGTTCCTCCTTGAAAAGACCAAACCAGTTGCATTTGCTGTTCGCACAAATGTCAACTACAGCCCGAGTCACGATGATGACGTCCCCGTGCCAGGCATGGCCGTCTCCTTTGAGGCCAAAGACTTCCTCCATGTCAAAGAGGTGCGTTCCAGTTCGAGATGATATTCAAGACAGCAATGCTGAGGGAAGTAAAGATGGTGATCAGGAGAAGAAGTAGGATGCTAAAGATAACTGTCTTTAATTATTACGTGTAGAAATTCAACAACGACTGGTGGATAGGACGCCTGGTGAAGGAAGGCTGTGAAATCGGTTTCATCCCCAGTCCTGTGAAGATTGAAAACACTCGTATCCTCCAGGAACAGAGAGCCAAACAGGGCAAGTTCCACTCCAGGTAAGCTCCGTGTCTTGGCCGGGAGATTTTTTAAATTGAATGTGGCCTTCTTGAGAGTTTGTGTTGTTGATTTCTGATGTCAAACACTTTCTCTCTCTTTTCAGTAAATTGGGAGCAAACTCATCTTCTAGTTTAGGTGAAGTGGTTCCTAACTCACGGAAATCTACTCCTCCTTCGTCTGGTAAGTAAGCTGGACAGGAAACTTTAAAACTCCAACTTTATACTTCATAGATTATTTGGTCTTTTTAAAGCAACTTTTAACCACTGCAGTGAATTCAAGCTGAAGGTAAGACCCACTACTTAGATGTTTCATAGTTTGAATTTCTACCTGCAATAAAGTTATAAGTTATATGTTTTAACTGCCATAATTGTACTTTTACATGTTTCATTTGCTGTCCTTGTACAGAAGCATAGATCACTCTCACTGTGAAATGTGCCCCCCGTTACCTGTGACCTCCTGTGGTCACCTCTGTGTAACGGTGCTCCTGTCTGTCTGTGTGTGTAGCCATTGATATAGACGCCACAGACTTAGACCCCGAGGACAATGAGCTTCCGGTCAACCTGCGCTCCCCTAAAGCCAGTCCAAACACTGTCATGTCACCCCTAGCAAAAGAGAAAAGAATGCCCTTCTTTAAGAAGGTAAACTCTGGACTACCCCACGTCCTCCTCTTCTCTATCTGTCCGCACGGCTCAGACTAAAATGCCTGTGGCTGCTCGGCCTCACTCAGCGTCCGTCCTGTCTGTCTACGCCACCGTCCTTGTCCCCTCGGCGTGCACCCCGTCCGTTAGCATGCATGCCTGTTCTTAACCTCTTTTCTTTCTCCTCTTCCGTCTCACCACAGCTAAGCAGAAGCAGAAGTCGGTAAGTCGTGGCGTGCAGTGCACCAGCTCAGCAGGGTCTGGGGATGACCTCTGTGGTCTGAACTGTACAAACCCTCTATACGATTCCTCTGCAGAGACTCAGCTCTGTACTGACCTCTCACCCTGCTCACCGCTCCTGCAGTCCTCTGTGTTGTGTTTGTGATTGTTCATGTGTTTGTAAGTGAACTTGTGATCCTGATTGAGTGAGAGCTCAGTGTGAACAGCTTTTTAATGAGCTAGACGAGATCTTAGTCAGCTTTTTTACTTTTAAAGGAATAGTTATACATTTATGATAAAATATCCCTAGTAGGCTTCTTGCTAAAAGTCAGATGAGGAGATTGATACCGCTCTTATATCTTCCATTAAATATTAAGCTGGAGTACGGTTAGCTTATCTTAAAGACTGGAAACAGGGTTGGGCCAGCTAGCCTGGCTCCGTCTAAAGGTGACAAAATCTACATACCAGCATCTCTAAGGCTCACTAGTTAACATCTTAAATCATGTTTGTTTGATCTGCACAAAAAAACAAGACTCAAGGAAGTCACTGCTCCCAGCAAAGAAATAGTCCGGCACATTACCCCTCATAAAACGGCAACTTGTCCTTTTTACATGTTTTTGTACAAATTAAGCAAACAAGATATATTGTGATCATTAGTGAGCTTTAGAGGTGCTGGTAGGAAGATTTTATGATCTTTTCGACAGAGCCAGGCTAGCTGTTTCTCCTGTTTCAAGTCTTTGTGCAAAGTTAAACTAAGCAGCTGCTGGTTTTAGTTTTATATTTAAAGTAGAGTCAATCAGCTCATCTAACTCTCAGTGAGAAAGCGTACAAGCATATTTCCTAACATGTGAATTATTCCTTTAATTGTTGTTGTCATGTAGACATGAAACAAACCTTTGTTATTTCAATCAGTGACAGCAGCAATAAATGCTGTTTGCTAAAGGCCTGAGAATGTGAAAATCAACATCACAGCATTCAAATATATTTCAAATATTATTTTTCCCTCATCAAATTATATTTGCAATGTGCGACATGTATACAAAATCACAACAAACTCTCACACATCTAAAAAACAATTTGATTTAGTCCGTTCAATTTGGGCAGTTTGATTTTGAGAAATGCGAATACATTTAGATAATATTGTCACAATATGGCCAGTGAAAGTTTTCCATGACTATGCTGACATTAACCAAGTAATCCAGAGCTGAATTTAGGCTACCAGAAGTATTTCTTCAGGACCACATTGTCCATTAATCCCCTTGTGTTAGTCAGCAGTAGTGTGCATCAGTTCCCACAATGTCCCGAGGGAAGCCCGATGACGGCAGCAAGTGTTACACAGAAAGAAAATGTTTTGAAGTAGAGAGAAGAGGAAGAGGGGGCAATAGACTGTAATATAAAATCTACTAAAACACTCATTGTAAAGATAACACGAACTGAGAGAACAGCTTGAACACTAGGACAAATAAGGGGAAAAAAGTTAATCGGATATGATAATCAACGGTCCTTTTTAAGTAGTCAACCCTCTCTGTTTCCCCGCTGTCTGCTCTCCGACAGAACTTCAGCTTAGATCCGTGCGAAAGAAAGAAAGAGAAAGTACTTAAATTTTCCTCCAGCATGCTGGCACATCCACCCATCTTTCAAACATGCTTCTCTGCCAGACGCCTGGGATTCACAGCAGCGTCGGGTTCACTGCTTCGCTGTCAGATGCAAACAGTTTAGAGAGAATTAAAGGGACATTTTGTCCAAACAAATTGTGGCACTTACACACCATCAATTGTTTGATTTCAAGTAAGGCTGCTACCAACAGCTATTATCTATTATTATATTAAGTATTTATATTTATTAATTGATGAATCATTTAGTCTAGAAAACCAGAAATTTATTACTAGAGACCAATTTAACATCTAGACGTTTTAAAAGATATGAAAATAGTCTGATTTGAATGATAATTTGTGTTTGATATGGTTTTTACTCCACATTCTATCTTATTAATTATGCTTTTTACTTCACTGAAAAGTTTCAGCATCACACTGACACTATTAAGTTGCATACTGAATCAGGAGCAGTGGTGATACATACGTACAGATTTAAAGTGAGCACAGATAAACTTTCCCCCTTCAGCAAACTCTGCCTGTACATCAATACGGACATCAGATGTTTTAGCTGACCAATGGTTCAAAAACCAAATATATTCAATTCTCTATCACATACGACAGAGAAAACGAGTTAACGCTTTCATTTGAGAAGCTGGAGGAGATACAGTTTTGGGCTTTTTTACTTAAATGAAAAAGAACTGTTGCAGGTTAATATTATTATATAATGTATTGATTAATATTCTGTCGAGGGACACACCGTTTTTATGTAAGGTCACATGCATGGGATTTATGTGGCACTAAAAACTGAGACAGCGGCCTGCCGTGACTGAATGAATGTAACACTGAGTTTTATCTTGAGATTGGCCCAAAAAACTATTTAATGTGTATCAGTCACATCACGGTCGATACCCAGTCGGCTTAATAAGGTCAGCACCAGCACTGATCAGGCTTATAAGAACAGTACATTCCTTATTCTGATTTCAGCTCTAATTTTCAAACTTCTTGTCAAAATCACCTCAATGATTTGATCTAAAACTGAGGCTATTACACAAACTGAGCTCCCACTTTGTCCCAACAGCAGTGAGCAAGTTTTTCTACCTGCGTCCTGATTGTTCCAAGTTTTATCAGTCGTAGCTTCTATCGATCTACTGCGGCTTTCTCTCCCTTTCTGACTAACCTTTCCTGTTACATAGTTTCCCCTTTTTTTTATTCAGTGACATCCGAACCATGAAATGAGAGGATTTATCTAAAGCTTTTAATCCATCATAAAATATTGTAGTTTACCATAATCTGATGATGTTACAATTCACAAAGTAAACGGACAAAATTTATTATAAATCAAAGCTAGCTCGTGTGTGTGTGTGTGTGTTTGTCGGGCCAGCTGTGATTTGTTTCATGGTTCACGATGTCCCTGTGCTTTTAAATTGTCTAGTTCATTGTTGTTCCAACTCCTCAAGTGATTTGTGATGGTGAGTGTTTACTCTGTCTCCATAAATGTGTGCAACTGTTTTTCTTCTTCTTCTCCTCTCTTAAGACGGAACACATTCCTCCGTACGACGTTGTGCCTTCCATGCGGCCCGTGGTTCTGGTTGGACCGTCACTGAAGGGCTACGAGGTCGAGACTTTGACGTTTCGAACACAAGATATGTGTCCACTTTTTAAGTGTTTCTAAAGTGTTTTCTAATGTTTCTTCCCTTAAATTTCCCCCGTCCACAGGTGACAGACATGATGCAAAAAGCACTGTTTGACTTTTTGAAACACAGATTCGAGGGAAGGTGAGTTTCTCTGTGACCTTTTTAAAATACAAGCTTCCTTCCTCATTCTTCCTCTCTCTCCAACTCTATAGGCTGGTATTTATCTGTCCCCCGAGGTTAGCCGAGGGAGTGTGTAACAAGTTTGTTTGGCCTGGAGATGTGTGCTGCTGCTTTAAATAGGCCCTCTCCATGTCCTTAATAGGCCATAATGGGCCCTAGAGCAGAGCAGGATTCTCCTTACTCAACGTTGAGTCCGTCCACCCATCTGAAGCAGAGAGGCCATGAAGTTACACAACACTTAAGATCCACTCAGACCACCAGCAGCTGCAGCAAATTCTGCTAATTCCCTTTTTAGCCCTGCTTTTCAAACAGGGTTTAACTATGACATGTTATCAAGCTATATCGGTCCTATTCATTCTCAAGAAAACGATGTGTTACAGTGCGCTCTTGTTTTAAAATAAAGGGAGCATGAGTAGCTTTACAGTATAGGATGTGTAGGGATTAGAGAACCCATAGGGAACTCATTTGATTTGTCTTTCAGCATTGTTGCTGCTGTTATTGTTTCCTACAGTGTAATGTTTTTTGTTATATGTGAGTGTGCTTGGACTGTCAGTAAGTAGGTGTTCTCTGTATAATAACGCGAGTGGATACAGTTTTAATTATGAGCCTGATGCTGCTGATAAACATAATTTCTCTTCCTGTTCTTCATAATTGACAGTTCCTGCCATATCTTACCTTATTAAACATTCAATATATGAAATAAAACCCTGCCTAAATATTGTATAAAGTAGATTTCTTTACTGTGTTAGAAGTTAATATTCAGAAGACACGTCTCTCTCATAAAGTCATGTTTTATGTTTCCATCGGTTTAGTGAGAGTTAGAAACTTTTAGTGGGGTTGGTTGGGTTTTAATCACCTGCATGTTCTCATTTAAAATCATATTAGTGGTTTTCATTAGACCTCTGGGAAATCAGAAAATGAGTTGCATTGGGTTCACCCTAAGAAGTCTTGGTTGGGATCCAGCCCGCACTTATACAGTTTTAAGGACTTGCTCTGATTTAAAGCACCTTAGAAGAACTGTAAGGTCAAATTATTAACAATCAAATCAAGTTCAAAGAACAGGGATTCCCTTTTATCGTGTGTGTGGATATTTTTAACAAATCTACACTTATATTCTCTATTTTTTTATTTATCTTTTGCTTCTACTTTATTTTTGGTCTAAATATACAGCAAGAACACATTTATCTTCCTCTCATATCAAATCAAGTCCATAATATCTGCATTTTTCTTGTCCCTTGTTTCAGAATATCAATCACACGCGTCACGGCGGACATCTCTCTTGCCAAACGCTCAGTCCTGAACAATCCCAGCAAGCACGCCATCATCGAACGCTCCAACACACGCTCAAACTTGGGTACGCTTGGACTAGAAATGACTGCAATGCCTGGGAACATCTGGTGTTTTGATTCATAATGTTTTCAAGGAGACCAGCTTATGTAGAAAAGGAAGGAAATGATTAAAGCAACTCTTGACAATGGTGATGATAACTCCCGACGGCCCGGAGTGGCCTTGGCCAGTTTTCTTTTGTTAGGAATGAAAGATATCGAGCATAAACGCTCGATAACAAGTTCAAGACCCGCTCCGATTCGACTGGGGTTGATTGGGGTTCAGATGTGATTAGAACGAAACAGATTCCTGAGTCAAACTGAGGTGACAGGGCTTATCTTTGCTATGCATCAACATATGCATAAGTTAGCCCCTGCAGCAGAGTAAGACGTCCCAGGAAAAGCATACACTGGAAGCAAAAAGTGTTTATGTATATTTCACAGAGCCACCACACTACAACTTTATCATTTCAACGGTGTCTCAGAAAAGAATCAAAAGGAGCTTTAAGACAACAGCTCCTCCACCTCTTCTGTCTTTTTAGTGATACATTATGAGACACATTTGGAGCCTTTTTATTGTAAGTGAGTGCTACTTGGAGCCAATTTAGTCAGTCAACAGGCATTATCCATCTTAACAATTCATTTTGTGCTTTTTTTTCCTGCAGATGAACATTTTCAGGAATTTTCTTAAATACAAAAGTGACATTTTGCTCAATGCTACTGAAGCCCTCTGTGTTTCAAGATACAATAAATGATTTTAGGAAAATTTTGTGTTGGAAACAAGTGAAGTTATCTCACCCTTCTGGCATATTTTAGCTGGAAAATGAGAATTTGTGACTCAGTCGAAGTCTAAATGAGCTGTTAGGTTGGAATGTTTTTCATGTTATCAGTTTACTTCAGACTTTGTCGTGACTGGAAGTCATGAAGCTTGGCCATGACTCTTCTCAGATTGGGAAGAGTGCCCTGCTGTGATATTTGTAGGATAGTTTTCGCAGTCACATCGTCATCTGTTGGAGTGGGGGTTGTGTGATGTAACAGTCGGTATTTGTTAGAGGTAACAGAACATGACTCGCTGTTCCTCTCAGAGCTATTAGTCTTTAAGCTGGTCCCTAAAGTCATGATGTCTTTTGAATATTTAAGTCTCTATGAAACAAAGAAAGGAGCCAAGCGTAAAATCAATGATGCAATGCAGTTTGTCAAACCACGTTTAGTAAGTAAGTAAAGATTTATTTATATAGCCCTTTTAAAACAATAGTTATACAGTAAAAACATTAAATATCAAACAGGATAGTAATAAAGAAAGAACCTATGAGTGGTTGTACTTGTGGGCTGCTTGTAGACATAAGATTTAGTATGTCAACAATAAAAGATAAAAATTAACAAGCAAACTCAAAAAGGAGAATTAAGCTTCAGCAGTGTGCTCATTTGGCAAAAAGATTAAGAAATACCAACATAACACACTGAATAAGACACTGAAATGTCAACAGAGGCAACCTTAAGAAGCAGCATTGATTATATAATATAATAACAGCCACTCTTCAGTATATATAACCATTAACAGCCATTAATATTAATCTTTAAATAAATACTTTAATGTATATATCACACATTATAAACTTGATACACTGTATTAATCTGTACTAAGTCTTACTCAGTCTAATAAACTAAATCATCAATATAAAATAATTAGATTGTTGTTCAGTAATGACCATTACATCAGACAATATTCAATATATTCTTTAATAACATTTTGTTTTTAACTGCAATTTGTCTAAAATCCATTAAATTAATTGAAACAGCTAGCTGGGCTCTGTCGAAAGAGAAAATCACAAATGTTTTTAGACTTTTTATACGGATTAAAGAAATATAACATTAACATTAATTTGAGAGCTTTAGAGATCCTGGTTGGCAGATTTTGTTACCTGGCAAGGTCTTTCTTTTCATAAAGACTGTTTCCAGTCTTTATGCTAAGCTAAGCTAAGCTATCCATCCATCTGCTGACAATACAAACACGCATATTTCCTAAAATGTTGAACTATTCCTTTAATTTGTACAACAGAATTTTCACGGAAAGACAATAAATAGTGATAATTAATTATTCGCAGGCTTTATAAGAACAAGGCCAGAAAATAAAAGTAGAACCTCTGAACTCGACTCTCCTTTTCTTCTCCAGCTGAAGTCCAGAGTGAGATTGAGCGGATTTTCGAACTGGCCCGCACGTTACAGCTGGTAGTCCTGGACGCCGACACCATCAATCACCCGTCGCAGCTGGGGAAGACTTCCCTCGCCCCCATCATTGTCTACGTCAAGATCACCTCTCCCAAGGTGAGTAAAAACTAACCTATTTGATCCAGCGACAGAGCCAATCAATGAGAGATCAAAGGAAAAGAGTATGGTGGAGTATAGTAGAGTGTACATACTTCCACCGATGTTTTAACTGGTGTCTCTGTGACTGATCTGCTCCCCAGCTGTGATTTTAAATTCATCATTGTATTTAAAAGCAAGCAAATGCACGAGGGGGACTGATTCATCGCTGTGACCTTCAGTACGAGCAGAAAAGGCTCATGATTCAGTGATCAATTAAAAACACAGGCATTTGGGTAACACAGAAAAATTAGAAAAAGCATAGCTAAGGAGGCATGAGATACAAGCTTTAAATCAAAGTGGCATCAGCGTGAATCACACTCACAGTGGGATAAAATAAAACACTTCTACCACCTGTCCTCTCAATTACAGCCTGCTGCCACATCATATACAGCCAAATTTAAAGGGATAATCACAGTATTATAAGTTTTAATATAACTGCTTATATAACCAGTGATGGAGGAAGTACTCTGGTCATTTACTTAAGTAAAAGTACCAATAAAACAATATAAAAATGTTCCATTACAAATAAATATGTTACTTAAGTTTAAATACATAAGTATTAACAACAAAATGTACTTAAAGTATTAAAAGTACTCGTTCTGCAGATAAATTGTCATATGTTACATTATTAGTTGAACTCCTCTGATTTCATACATTCATACAGTCTGTTTACTAGACTTTATGGCTACAAATTAAAAAAAATGTCCTTGAGTGATGTCACTTGAGTCAGTGTCGGTCGGGGCTGAACTGACTACGAGATCACCAGACCTCTGCGGTCCACTTCTCCTCTTCACCTGAGGCTAGCAGCTCAAGGCTAAATTAACCACTGCTAGCGTAACACACACAAATCTCTGAGTGAACTGTCTGTGGAGTTGCATTGTGGGTAATGTAGGCACCAGGTTTGGACAAGTAAGAAGACGATATCTCTGATTCTGATGCATCGATTTTTATATTTATCCTTTAATACTAATGCATCGATGCATAGGCAGCATTTTAATGTTGTAGCTGGTTGAGGTGGAGCTGGTTAAACCACTTTAGATACAGTTGGGTAGTTTACTCCTTTTTAATATTTTTTTATTTTTGTTAAACGTGGAATAATTAAATCTCTGGACCTCAAACAGTTCTGTCTCCTACAAGGAGTTTTTAACTGGTTATGAAACTGAGTCTCACATTAAAATACTGATGCCTTTATACATGACCTACATAAACATCAGGGAGAAGATTTGTAATTTCCGTATGCTTTATATATTTTTTATACTTTCTGAATTTTTTAATGCAGTCGGTTGTATTCCCCTTGAAATCAATGAAATAAGGCGATTGAAACACTACCGCTGTTGTCCACAGGGGGTGCTAGAATCAACAACAAATTAAACAATTTAGAGAACAAATGTCTTTGAGGTAGAACTGCTAATAACTCATAGACATCTGAAATGTAATTAATAACTAAAGTTGTCAAATTATAATGTAATAAAGTAAAATGTAGAGAATAAAGTAAAGTATTTCTTTCTGAACTGTGGAGTATAAAGTAGAATAAACCAGAAATACTCAAGTAAATGAAACAACCAGTACAGAACTGTAACTATCCTCTTCCTCTCAGGATTTCTCAGACTTGAATATCGCAAACACAAAGCCTAAATGTATTGTAATGCATAAAACAGCCATGACCTTGTTGCCTTCTGACCTTATTTGCCTTCAGGTGCTGCAGAGGCTCATCAAGTCCAGAGGCAAGTCTCAGGCCAAACACCTCAATGTCCAGATGGTGGCTGCAGACAAGCTGGCTCAGTGCCCTCCTGTAAGTCTCCACAGTGGACCCCAATTATCACTGACTTGAATCCAGTGTTTAAAATAACCTGGAGTTTTGGCTCCAAGGCTTTTAGTTTCATGCATATCTGAAGTCAGTTTTTGTTTTATTTGTGCCAGTTCTATTTCTGCTGTTCTGTAATCTGCTTAGTTATTATTTTAGAAAGTGAAGCAAGCACCGCAGGCTTGTGAAAGTGCAGGCTTAATTTAATTCAAATGGTGGTCCGTATCTTTAGGGAATTACTGTTTAAGATTGTCTCAGAGTTAATTCAGAGGGTTGATTCTGACATCGCTCTGACATCTTGTGTATATATATATATAAATATCAGCTTGATTACTTTATGATAGGTTTAATTTTAGATGTCTGTAGATTTCTCAAAACAATCCAAGAATCTGTCTTTTATTGTGAAATTTCCCTTCACCTTCTTGTTTTCTTGACCTCGATGTGTCTCCATCGTCTTTAACCCTGTCTGCGCCCCCTCCTCTCCTTTCTCAGGAGATGTTTGACATCATCCTAGATGAGAACCAGCTGGAGGACGCATGCGAGCATATGGCAGATTACCTGGAGGCCTACTGGAAAAGCACTCACCCCACCAGCTGTAACCCCCCCAACCCAGTGCTAACAAAGCTGCCCACAGCCACCCTGCCCTCCAGCCCGGCCCCGGTCTCTGGCCAGCAGGTAACAAAGTGTTCAAGTGAAGCATAGCTGGGCAGGAAGCGACAGAGGCAGCGCTAGAGCAGTTGGTTCCCAACCTGGTGGCCTAGGGGTCGCCAAAGCTTCACAGGGAGGGGTCGCGAGGCCTTCTTGATTCAAGGGTTGTATGAAACATAAACAGTGGGCCTTTATCTCAGCATTTCATTCATTCATTCATGTGTTAGTTTTAACACAAGCTATATTGACAGAGCCTTCACTCTCACAGCCTCGTCCTGCATTAGAGAAGGACCACGTTAAAATAAGTAAAAGACTAATATAACAGTGGAAAGTGTCAGGGAAGAAGCATGTTAAGTATGAAGAATTCATCCAAATGACTCCTTTTACACAAACTTCCTGCAGTTATAACTATTTGGGTTCATTGTACAGTTTATCAGTTGTTCTGTTACTGTTGAACATAATATGAAATATCCATAAAATGTGTCAAAAAAGGTTAGGAACCACCGTGCTAGAGGGTTAGAAAAGGTCTGTCTCAATACACATAATTATGGAGTCAAGTGCCTACATGTTTTACCTGTGTATTTAAGTGTTCATTATACACACTTATTTAATTTCAGCATAATAATAAATTCAGGAGTTGAGAGGAGAAACACACTTCAAGGTCCAGTGTGTCACATTTAGAAGGATCCCTTGACAGAAATGGATTATAATGAAAGGCTGAGCTGTATTCAAATGGTTTCAATCTGCAACTTCAC